TTTGGATTTGTTCAGGCTAGAAATTTGAATTTGTTCTTTAGTTCTAACAATTTTGTTTCTTTTTATGTTTATTGTATAATTTGCTTATTTGGAACTCGATATTTTGATAATATGATAATCTGAACATATGAATTCGTAACTTTGATAATCCGAGCCTCGATTACCTTCATTCATACCTTCATACCTTCGTACCTTCGACCTTCGTAACTTTGTAACCTCGAACCTTCGATAATTTGTCTTCGTCGAAATCGACTCGACCTCTGCAGCTTAACAGCTTCGAAAATCTGCCAATAAGTAGATTCATAACAATGACAGAGGTAACCTGGGTGTGACTTGGTTTCGTTCGCTTGTTTGATCCAACAAGGTTCTTGAATCAACATAACATCCACGCCTAGCTCGTAAGCTCTAGAGAGCGCAATATTGTGGGTTGGGCTACCACTGCCTACGTTTATTGACAAAAAACTTAATGTAGGAGGGGGCGAGAAGGGGCCCGTAGGGCGCCTTTCACAAAGCTTCTTCAGGATTCAAGGCCCCAAAGCCCGAACCCTCAGTCATTGCTGTATCTATTGACGATATGTCCTTAACAGCAGCTGGAGAAGTTGGTCGTGTCGATCTAGCGGCAGCTGTGGCAGCCTCTGCGGCCTTGGTAGCAGCTTTTGCTCGGGCGACGGCCTGGTACTCACATTGGCCAGCTTGTCTAATCTTCACAAGTTGCTCCCTGGTAGCTGGGCTAGACCTGTTGGGACGAGCAAGACAGTCTCGAATGCCAGATTGATGGGGGCCTCCGCAGTTTCGACATTTAGAGGCCGCTTTACACTCGAATGCCGAGTGCATGGTGGATCCGCAGTTCCAGCAGGCTGGCGCGCGAGAGCACCCACGGGTGGCGTGGAAACCGAGACATCGCCTACTGTTGGCACAACGGGGCTCACTTGATTTAATTCCTCAAAAGTGCTAAAAACAAGTGGTATATTCTGTCTATCTCTTCTGTATCCCTCCTCAAGCATTAATATCTAAAGTACGAAATAAAGCTTAGCGCCCTAATTATATCACGTGATGCGCTGACCAATACTTTTGGAAGTAAACGTTTACTACAAGCCCTTTATCTCTACGCAATTCACCTGTGAACCGACACCTACATTGCTGTATGGCAGGGCGGTTTCGTTAGATTGTCGCTACTCCTGAGTCGTCAAAGAGTCGGAAGCCAGGCTTTGGGCTAGCGTTCCTGGGGAACAAGGCCGCCCAGGATCTATAGGGAGCGCTGAGCTTAGTATTTCCGTGTATTATTACTCGGTCTAGAGTGCAGTTGGTTACTCTGAGGATTTCGGCGGCCACCATTTCGGCAGTGACTTCGATTCGTCCTTCCAAGCCAAACGGCGACTGAAACCGTTGGGATCCGGAGGGAAACTAGATCACTTGGTGGTTCTAGTTTTGCCTCCACTTGCGTAAAGGTGCTGGAAGCCTCCAGCAGTCGGGATTTTGCATCCGGGTTTTTGGCACGGATAGCAAAACTAGTGAGAACGCGTTGCACCTGGTCGACATCGGAAGGGGTGCATCATGTTTGTTTCGCTACTGCTTCGCGAGCGCCAGCCGGAGAGAGCTGTCTCCACTCGTGGTTTGCATCCAGACACAGGAAGAGTCGGTCATCTTTCGATGCTGTTGTTGCTGCTACCGGCTTTTTCTCCGGTTTCCTGGCAGATGGGGCAGCCGAAGGTGAGGTGTTGTTTGCATGGGCCTGTGCGCCTGACTTTTGGTGTCCTGCTCTGGTGACAGCGGCCCAGGTGTTTCTGGGCAGGAGGGGTGCAGTAGCCTTTGAAATATTCCGTGGAATGGCTACTGGGATGACGGTCGTAGGGGGAGTCGTGACATTTGGTCGTTGGGGTAGTACTGGCGGAGCAGTGCTTGGCCCGTGTTATGATTGGTATATGATTTGGGAATGCACACTTGCGCTGGAACAGCTAAGATAGTATGTGGAGAGATATCTTCATTAGTGTGCAGAAGTGAAGTTATTATGATAATTGTTGTGTTACAGGTTAGGGGAATCTCGTCCCTTATCTTCTAGCTTGTTCCCTTGTAGACCGATCACGTTACCAGTATGCAGCTCACCAAAGTGTGCAACTAACTGAGCAGCCATGCCATTTATCCTATATCAACAACCCATCTCTCATACTGCACACATTACTACTTGTAATGTCGTTATGTAGAGACTGGATCTCCTCCATGCGCCATGATGTCATGCTGCCATAATAACTACCTATGCACCAGCTACTAGATCTACCATACTACATAGCTGACCATAACAGCCCGGCCGCCACGAATTGTGCGATGGCTGCCCTTAGGTAGACTTTGATCGAGTCTACAAAATTTTAATCTTCACCGGTGGAGAGCGGTAGAAGAGCTGCCTCGACACTGCTAATAGCCGTCGAGCAGATATTAAATTGCGCGGCTTTTTGTCTTGCCCTGCGCTCCTCTGCTTCCATCGCTGCAAGCAATTCTGGAGGGTATGTTTTTTCTTTGCCTGCTGCTTCTGTTGCTGTAGGCGGTGGGGCCAGCGAAGAGTTTTCGACTCCTGCTGCCTTGGTTGAGGGTGCGTTGGCCCTTTTCGCAGGCCTTACTTCCCTAAGTCGCGGTAGTGCTGGAACCGTAGCGCGCTTTTCGGGTGCTGCGACGGTTTCTCTTGTTGTTTCTGCGGGCCCTGGGGCTTTTTCCGCGTTTCTGGGCTGGAGGAAGCCCATCTTGAATCTGATAGGGATTTCAACTTCTGGACTTCGACGTCCAACATCTCTACCTCGGGTATATTGCGAACGTTAGCTTCGAGCGCAGCCTCGATGGAGTCTAAATTTTTCTCGGAGGCCTCTGATCTTTTCTACGTAAGTTTTTGTCTTGCAAGAGTTAGTATAAATTCATGCAATTTGTAGGGTTTGATGACGCGATCTTTGGTGATTCCGCTGATCGCTTTTTGGTGCGATCTACGCGTCGGAGGCATTTTGAAATGCCGCCGATGGCAATCAATTACGATTCGATTCGATAAGTAATGGTTGAGATGGATAATAGGGTGGGAATGGGCAAATTGGGATTCTCGAATTGTACGATTCTGTGTTGGCCTAAAATGTTCATAATTGTCTTGTCTACTACGCATTACAGTACCACAGCGCCCCTCGGTGAAGCATAGCAGGATAGTGCAAGGAAGTTAAGCTAGGCTACCATATCGTGCACGCAATATCTAAACTCTTCTAACATTTCAATGCCACCTCCCATCTGATCCGAGGCGCTAATAGTAATGTGGTTGGGAGGGGCATAGGGGAGTAGAGAGCGCTTCTCTTGTGTCGAGACAAGTCTACAGGGCCGGACTGGTCGGTGTTATGGTCAGCTATGTAGTATGGTAGATCTAGTAGCTGGTGCATAGGTAGTTATTATGGCAGCATGACATCATGGCGCATGGAGGAGATCCAGTCTCTACATAACGACATTACAAGTAGTAATGTGTGCAGTATGAGAGATGGGTTGTTGATATAGGATAAATGGCATGGCTGCTCAGTTAGTTGCACACTTTGGTGAGCTGCATACTGGTAACGTGATCGGTCTACAAGGGAACAAGCTAGAAGATAAGGGACGAGATTCCCCTAACCTGTAACACAACAATTATCATAATAACTTCACTTCTGCACACTAATGAAGATATCTCTCCACATACTATCTTAGCTGTTCCAGCGCAAGTGTGCATTCCCAAATCATATACCAATAATAATAAGCAGTCCCTATGCAACTAAAGACAAGTTACCGCTAAGCAGCTACAATATCTCGAAAGAATTTCGTAGTCTGTTTATTTCCATATCTATTTCCAGCGTTTCAAGAAGACGCCAAAAAATCTCATCACCTTAGCAATAATATGGATACCGAATACTACATGGTGAATATAGTGGATAATTTCTGGTGTTATCGGTGTAAAAAATAGGATAAGAGACAAACTAAGGTTTTGGTCGTCTTGTTGAGTATAAGATTCGAGAAGGGCTGAAAATTTGTAGGCCAAATTGAGGTGTGTGGCTTGTAATATTTGTGTTAGGAATTCGTTTGCAAAAATTAAAAAGAAATATAATTTGATTTGATTTGGAAGTTATTAGTTCTGTGTCTATGGTCTTTATGAGGTTATCAACTATGGTAATCTACTACTATAAGATCATTTTTTTCTTCAAATCCTGCAAAGTAGCGAGTTGATTTAGATCCTTGAACTTTTGTCACACTGTTATCTCTAATAAGGATGGGGTTATTCACATGTAAAATACCTCTCAAGTTTATTCTTATCTAAAGCTTTTGCCTTTGCAATTCCAACTGTTTTATTCCTACAGTTTATAATTTGGCAGTATCTCAAACTTCCATGCTTCGAATCAACTGTCATTGGATCGGCTGCAATTTATTAGTGATAGCTGAATACTAATCTTCCCTAGAATTCAATTACAATCTGCCAATATTCGAGCGCCACTTTGCGTCCCTTACGTGACTCAAAGCCCAATAGCTTGTAGATACGGATACAGCTAAGGGAGTAGCGGCTATTTGCCATAGTTCTCGATCTATATTCGCACAATTCTAAAGCAGCACTAATCTGGTCGGTGTCAGAAGCAACTAGCACGCATCAATTTTATCAGGGCGAACCAATAATCCTGATATGTACTTAGTTCGATTATAGATAGTATTAGGGGACTCCACTTTAGCTCGGCACCGTCCAATCCAGTCGAGTAAGCTACTCATTTGATGCCAAGATTATCCGTTGAATATCTGCTTAAACCACTAGTTTCTTGACAAGGAAGAGCTGGGAAGAATTAGTGATGAGTAGAGAAGGCTCTTGATAAGTAATGGGAGGAGATATGGAAGTATAGAATAAACTCATTCGCCCGTTTTAAGATTCATTATTTCCAACAACTTATATCTCATCATACCTTAATCTTCTCCGTCATTCAACTCTCATATTCAGATCGCTCGAATCTTTCAGGAATTAATCAAACAAAATGCAGATGTCAATTTTTTTCCTCGCTTTAATGATTGTTGGGGTCATAGCCATGCCTCACAGAAAACATGGCGTTATATCATCAGATTATCGCATCATCAGCGATACAACCTTCAAAACGGTTGAAAATATGAATTCTGTAAATAACATCAATGTCTTTGGGAGTGATATTGACAGCTCTAATTTCATGTGGCAGACCAGTCGAAAGAAAGAAAATAAAGTCTTTTTGAACGGAAAAAACGCTGTAATTGTGACTAACCTGGCTACGACAAACAGGATTTTGCCAATTACAAAATCAGCAGAATCCCTCATAGAACTACCGGTGATTCCCACTGCTGCTGCGAGCATGGTAGAGAACCCGGTAAAGTATGCGAAGAGAGCTCTTCATCAAACACCTTCAGGCTTTCGATTAGATGGGAGACGTAGCTTTCCATACTATAATCAGAAATCAATTTTACACATAAATCGGCTAGTCAACGGCCATAAAATACTTTCTACAAATCGTCGACTTCGCCAGCCCCAAGGTCACCATAAAACTCGTCCCCTCAGCAGGGAAAAGTCTAGCTTCAGATAATACTAGCAATAACTTGAGATCTACCTCAAAGCGTAATTATTTGAGAGCCCACGGAATGGAGTCTTTTTGGCGTATGTTTAGGCAGGTCTGGGATCTCGCGTACTAGATATGGAGTTGTGCCATGAAATTTTAACTAGCGTTTGAGTATTTGTTATGACACGCTAATTATGGCAAGCAAGAACTCAAGGTTTAAAAGTTAATAAAGCTAAAGAGGAAAGCCCTATCTGCAAGTTATATACATGATGAGTTTGGAATAGTGCGAATAACTATAAAGGTATCATCAGTGTTTCCACAACGCCAGACTATCGTGGGTTTCTTATTCCAACTCCATAACTGTTTACGCCCCGAGCCACTTAACAGTATTATAAAGGTAGGAAATATTTTAACTAAAGGGGCATATTTGATTAGTTTTATGTTTACTTTATTATTGCAAGACTCAATTTTAGTGCTCCATTAGCCACTAATCTTTGTAAAAGGTTTATGGAATTTAGGTGTACTTGAAACATGACAACACAATGGATATTACCAACTTTTCCCTTGGAAACTAATCAACCTTATCGTCTTCTGTCTTTTATGTTCTCTGCGGAGACTAGTCCTAACTCCTCTCCTGAGTCACATGAAATACTTCATCTCCCCGGCTCCCCTCTTCTCCTGCAACATTCTCCTCATCTAGTACACACACCCTTAGATATCTCCTTGTCCGTTCCATCGCCCTAGTCTATATGCCACTCTCTGCATCTACAGAAATGCTACTCTGTTGAAGCTCAACTTCCAAGACGGGGTAGTCCTAGTGGCCACTCCCAATCCGAGCACAGCCCATCATAATCTCCCTCGCATCACCATATCTTGTGCGGTCTATTTAAACAGCTCGTGGTGAATCTATTTTTTACAATATTTTAATTTGTATGCAGCTATATAGTAATGACACATGACCGGTGCTATGGTTATATATTGTAAGACTCTTTTGACGTTTTAGACACTCATACTCTGTATTTCATTTGCAAATACCACTACGAGGTATGTTTGCTTACACAATCAGACGATCCTCCTCCATGAAAACCCACCAAAGGGAAGTTTCGAAGTCTTTGATTATCCAAAAATGCCTTCGTTATCCGTGCATACTAGCGCCGCAAGAAATGTAATTGTATTTTGCTAGATTCGAACCAGCGATTTCCTGTCCAAAGTGGGTCATGTATTCAAGCTATCCAGATATTACTTGGAGGACCGTGCTGTGTGATGTACCACCGCACCACCCAGCCATGGCGGTTTTTAAAGTGTCGCCTGCACTTTCGGAAATGAAGTCATATAGCGCACAATTCCAAATTTGAAGATATATTTCCCCTCAAGATTGCATTCATCCCTTATATAATTATTCCCAACTGTCCTACTATCTCTCACGTCCATCCTAAAAATATGCCTCCTAGATTTGCGCACCACGACGTGCTCCCATCAACTGGTATAATTATCGGCGCGGGCATATTTTGAAGAACAATGAAGGACAAAAACTAAATTGACCAGAAATATGGACATAGAAATGAGGACTTTTTAAGGCTTTGATCCGAAAAGATCTTGTTGGAAGTGAAAGATGAATTTGGTCGGTTGCCTCAAGACAGTGACTCGTGGGCCAATGTATTCGGTATTGTGAAATTTAGCTGAGCTCAGCTTTGAGGAAATATTCCACACTCAGGCTGATAGATGAGGCCGCTGATTGGTGTTGAATCATCATCTTCCACCTTACCCCTTTAGTATTAGTATTCATTAGGAACAAATAGATGGAGAGAAAGGAGAGTAGCTGATAAAATTTCAAGCCAATATACCTAGGGGCATAATTAACCTATCATACCAACACTACAATATTTGTATTAGCTATATCTGAATGTAAATAGGTACACTTTGACCTGCAGTCTCTAGTATTAAACGAACGGCATAAAATAGAAATAGCTGCAATTTCGTGATATACAATATGACATGCCTGAGGTTCATCTCCTCATCACGTTAGTTTTTATACTTGCCGCTTGCCCTAAAAATATAAGATAATATTCAAAAAATTTTTGCTTGTACTTAATCAGTCATCATATCTTTCGTTTTCTTGAAATCTGATGATATATCTTTGGATATTAAATGAGTAAAGTTATTGAGGTGTAGCCAGATTGGTGTTCTTTTGATGGGTATAAAAGTTCATCGTCAGATAAAATTTTCTTCTTTGACATCATTTTATTAATAGCCTAAATTCATATTAAATTACAAGCAGCGCGTGTAGAACGACTCTAGATTAGATACTAAAGGATTGGCTTAATACAATTTTGATAAATCAATTTCAATTCGTGAGAGCCCACTGTCATTTTCTGTATTTTAATTTTAGCCGTAGCCTATGACACAATAAACTTACAGAACATAGAACACCTCCCGAATGAATTTATGTAATTAAATGTGAGATTTTTGGTGTCGAGCGAAAGTATGAAGTGTTATTTGACTTTCTATTCCCCTCAATGACACATGGGATTAGCGTAGATAGGCACCCTGACACGCGTAGAGTCAAAGGGGTTCCTCTTCATCCGATGTTTCTTATTACTCTTTAAGAATGACAACTAGATTCGGCAGATCTTAAACTCCAAAGTAAACTGCAAAATTTGATTCATGTATGTGATAACTCCCAAAATCAATGCTATTAAAAAAGTAGGAAACAGCGCCAACACCATTGTAGTTATTTTTCACAAGAGTCGTCATAATTTTCCTTGTCTTAATCTTTTTCTAGATCCTTGGGGCTAGGGTCACCTATTCCATCCTCATTAATGGCAAAGAGGCAGTCACTCTCAGGTAAGCAAGGACTATCGTATATCTTGCAGATCCTGGTTTCTCCTCTCCCTTTTTTGAGACTCAACCTAGTAGTACTAGCATGTGCAATAATATTTCCGCCAATCGGCTTTTTTGGATCTGGATTGAACATGGCACTAGGTCCACCATCAACTTGAGCTACCACTTGATTTGTAATTACTACTGCGATGCCAAACTCATCCGCTAAACGTTGCAGGGTTCTGAGGAATTTTGCCAGATGTGTCTGACGAGATGATAGCTCACCACGACCCACGAAATCTGTCCTATACAATGATGTGGCACTATCTACAACGAGAAGCGAGAAGCGCGTTTCACACATCATGGCTGCTGCTTGATTAAGAAGTTGAAGTTGATGATCCGAATTGTAAGCACGGGCATATGCCACATTATCTAAGACTTCTTCTCCAGATAGCCCATATCGGTTTGCTACGGCGAGCAGTCGTACAGGTCGAAATGTCCCCTCGGTATCGATATAAAGACATTTTCCTTCGCCCCCACCCATATCAAAGGGTAACTGACAGGTCACTGCAAGTGTATGACATATCTGGCTTTTTCCTGTTCGAAATTCTCCAAATATTTCTGTTACGGATCCTGTCTCGATGCCTCCAGCTAGTAACGTATCAAGCTGCTTCGAGCCGGTCGTGATGGATATGAGTTCGCTACGACGCTGATGCATTTCTGTAGCGGTCGTAAATCCCATCGGAACTAGCTTCGATGCTAAGAGTACTCAGATTAGGATAGAATGCAATCCAGTCGAGACTTCTTCTTGCCTTCTGTCAGTATCTTGGTCGCCTTCTGCTCGGAAATTCCCTTTATTTGTTCGAGGATCCGCCGGGGCGTATATGCCACAGATTCTACCGTGTTATACCCACCATCAACAATAAGTTGGATATCTCTCTTGGTTAATCCCGCGACACCCTAACATAAATACTGTTGGTTGAGCGAATGACGAGGGTTGATGTAAGACATACCTCCAAGGCACTCAGAGGCGTCGGTGCACCAGGACCTCCTTCTCCTGATTCCTCTGCAGCCAATTGAGAAATTTGTGCTTCTTCCGTCATTTTCCGATACTTTAATGTTGATAATTAGGTTTACAAGAACCAGTGGTAGGTGTGTAGATGAATGGCTATTTGTTAGTGCTTAGCTTGGACGCTAATTGTTGATGTATGTCATTACGAGGCGAGTAGTCACGTGCTACAATCGAAATTATTCCACTCTCCCACTACTGGCCATCTCGCCATCCAGGGCCAAACTACCACTCTTCTCACACATCCTCATTTGTAGATTGAACTATAAAGACCCTTCCGCTCTAGCTCCGATCAAAAATAAACACAAAAATATCAAACCCCCCTACCATCATTCAAAAGTCGCGTCATAAACTGACAACTGTAGCCAAACCGTTATCAGAATCTAGCCGCGTCACGCGCTCAGCGCGCGTGAGAGCAGCCCTCCCAATCATGGAGGGTCTTAACCAATCTCATGCGGTAGAAGCCACTCCCTTCTAACATCCAGCCCTTAGCGATTGGGACACTCGCTAGCAGCCAGCAGCATAACATAGAGCTCGATCCAACTTATTACGACGATCAAATCGAATACAACGACCCCGACGACGACCCATTTTCAGAGCCAGCCCCCGCGGGCCTGATGCAAGACACTCTGACCAAGATCTTATAATTACTATAATTAATTCATTTTATTGTCCTGTCTGAGTCTATGACTATGTAGAACATGCAGGTCCTCTCTGCCTACAGGCCAAGGATACATATACCAGTAGTATACCCCCTCCTATGCCTCCCATACCTACCAAGAGCGTAAACTCTATGACAGCCCGAGCAAAAGAAGCAGAGACCCCTTTTGGAGGTATTTCGGCACTAATCGACAAGCATAGCAGCGCACCCAACTACGCTATACTACCCGCCAAGCAAGCCGAAGCATTCAAAAGCCCCTGTAATGATATGGCTAAATTCGCAGCACGGAATTTAGATGCTTACCTCTGCGATAAGCCTGTGACCATCACCTACGACGCCTCCCCGCCCAGCCGTAATGCCCAAAAAACTGCGCAGACCTACGCAAATGCAGCTTCATGGGCATCCAATAAGCAATTCGCCGGTCACCATGCTCCAACCCTCCCAACACCCGCTAAAGCCCGGCTTCAGCCCAAGCCCACTTGCACCGATGACTGGTAATTCGTTCGTATCCCGGAAGGTAATACCCTCCGGAATCACTCAGCATACGCAACACAATCCCACCTGAAAGCTAAGCTTGGCAATGAGGGTCAGACTCTGACAAATGTGCAGTCAACGAAGACTGGTTTCGCTCTCTGCCCCAAGGACGAAGACTCATAAAATCTCATGGAAAAGATAGAATCCGTTAGCTTCTTCGGGGACGCACCAGTTGAGAAAGCAACACCATGGGCTTCCTACTGATAAAAATTGTTCCTCGGACCTATAGAGCCCTAGAACACATGAACGAAGAATGGAAGTATTGCCTTATGCCCGTCACAGCTGAGGCGTTGAAAGATTCCCTAGCCATCGCAGCTGGGTGGCCCCTGCAGCCATTGTCGCTTCACGCGACAATGATACTAATCCAACGTCCTCGTCGACGACATGGATCGTGCGTTTCCCAGAATCACATCAGCACTTGCTACGCACCCTCTTCCTCTTTGACTGCCGCACATAGACAAGAATTTTACCCAAGCGTCAGATGTCCGTCCAGTGCACCCGGTGCTGGCTCTGGCACAATATACGCACATGTGCCTCCGACCTCAGATGCCGCCTTTGCGGATCCTCCAGACACTCCGATATATATCATGCCAATCAATGCGGTGCCACGGGCCAACATATATGCCCCTACAGATGCATCCACTGTCATGGCCCCCATCCCGCGGACGATGATAGAGTGACCTCTGGCTTAAGCTCTCCGGTCCCCCGAAGAACAAGAATCAAGTAAGTGCTATCCGCCAGGTAAACGCGGGCGCTCGCCTGCGAAAACAAGCAGAAGCTGGCTGTATCAAGCCTACGGTCAGCCCCAAAACCACGCATATTACGGCCGCAAATCCTGCTGCAATAGGCCAAACCCAGCCAGTTTCAGTAAAATCCATCAACCCCTATGAAGTTCTCCCCACAGAGGATCAGAGAAATGACCAAGCGCAAGTGCAATCGAAATGACTACTTTACGGCGCCGCAAACAAAACAATTGCCCGTTAAAAATAATATCTGTAAATATCGGCCGCGGAGCCCAATCGCACGAGTTGACTCTCAACGAAGCTAGCATAGTCTCTGCTGATATTGTACTAATACAAGAATCGCACATTTACAGCGACCGCGCCAGGCGTATCACCAAACGCCACCCATCCTTCGAGACCTTCTCACCAATCGACGACTGGACATCTTCACGACCCAAGGTGATGTCCTATGTGCGGAAAAACGCCTTTATCCGTTTAGAACAGGGTTATACGGCATTCTCAAGCGATATACTTCTTCTTAGAATTGTCTCGTCCTCGGGTAACACCATAAGTATCGTTAACGTCTACAACGCTCCTGCAGGACCCGCCGGCAATAGCGTTCTCGATTCCCTTTACTCTCTCACCCTCCCTTTCTAAGGTGATCTGCTTATCTCTGGAGGTTTTAATCTACATCACACCAGATGGCAGCTATCATGGACTCGAAGCCCTTCTCCCGGCGCCGAAAAGTTCACAGAATGGGCAGATCAAAATAGCCGCTTTATTTTATCACCTGCAGATATGGCAACGCATAACCGAGGCAATGTACTCGATTTGGTTCTCGGATCTAGCCCCCTGGTTCAAAAGACAAAGTGCACCCTAGCCCCACACCTAGACACGACGTCAGACCATGCTACAATACTAAAATTAGTTGATTGGGAAGGCTATACTGAACCCCTCCGCAGGCTCAGACTCGACACGTTGGACATTGAACTTTTCCTCCGTCTCCTACCCATCAATATTGATGGTCTTAGTCCAATTCCACTAACTTTTACCAGGGAGGTGCTGGATAGATGCCCTAAAGAGCGAACAGAAGCTATTGTGATATCATAATATCTGTTGAATTAGTATATGATTTAATGAGGATTCCTTCTGGAGTTATTCTTTTATTTCGCTTCATAACAATGAAGTTGGAATTGCCAACTATGAACTGGGAAGTGGTATGCGCTAGATGGAGATAAGACGAATCTCAAAAAATCTAGTTGGGAAAGCGCATAGTTAGTTGGAAGGATATGATAGAAGCTGGGTCTATATGTTATGTAAATATAGACTTACTCATATAGGAGAAATTTAAAATCATCCGAATTTTACAATAGAAACTGTCCGTACAGCATACACGGGCGCAGCTCGCCGCTCACTGGGCCACGGTAAAGGGAACGCACGGTGGGATATATTATGTAAACAGGCTCGCCAAAGGTACAAGAAGGTCCGAAGCGGACCCATAACAGAAGAAGATGTCGCTAGAGAGCGAAAAGAGTATCGGGGCACGATGTAAGGGCAAAGAAGGCCTACTTCACTAACAAGATTGACGCAGCCAGTATGGGCAAGGATATCTTCGCTGTGACAAAATGGCACAAGTCCTCGGGTAACTTCCGATCCACTCCCTTCAAAGTCCCCAGGTCCCCGGCCTCCCCCTGCAATATCGTTGCCTGAAAAAAGGGAAATTCTACTCGGTAATTTACTCACGAACCTGGCTGAAGTAGGTGATATCCCTTTCGATAACCCGATAGTTGCAAAATGCTCCATTTCGTTCCCACTTCTCTACCAGGACGAAGTTCAGGATTCAATTCTTAGATAAGGAAGTATAGTCCCTGGGGCTGACGAGATCCCGACTGCCATATTACGTATAGCTTGGCCCCTCATCGGAGAATATATCTTCTCACTCTTCAAAAGCTGTTTCTCTCTCGTCCATCATCCTGTCTGCTTCCGGCAAGCTGTTTTAATCATGCTTCAGAAGCCAAAAAGGTAGACCTATCTTCCCCTCGCTCATACCGCCCGATAACACTTCTCTCCGCACTTGGGAAGGGGTTGGAGCGGCTGATAGCTAGACGTATATCTTGGATCGCGACCCGATATACGATACTAACCACCCAACAGTTTGGTGACCTCCCAGGAAGGTCAGCTGTCGATCTTACCACCTGTCTTACACATGACATCGAAAGAGCTTCGAGCAAGGGGCACACGGCCAGCATGCTCACTGTCGACGTGAAAGGAGCTTTTGATGCTTTCCTCCCAGACCGGCTTGTCCGGAATATGCGATAGCAAGGCTGGCCAGAGTTCCTTGTCAACTGGATAGCCTCTTTCGCTACAACCGTTCAGTACAAATTCGTCTCAATGGCGAACTAGGCCTTCTCCAGTCAGTCAACTGTGGTCTCTCACAAGGCTCTCATGCCTCTCCTATCCTTTTTGTCAGGATCTCTTGGGACTTGGTTACTTAACTTGAACTGGAGGCGCTAAATCTTGGGCTCTTGATGGTAAAGAAAATATAACAACAATAAAGACTTGGTTCTTGATTCTTGGGTATCTAGGGAATAGTACAAGATTGAAAGCTGGAGAGCATATGACGTGAAGATACCTCAGTTACTTATATTTCGACACTACCTGCTACAGACTACAGTAATCAAGTTCCAGCCCGATTCCTGTCGAACCCCTGAGAGTAACCTAGAATCCGATCGAAGCCTATTGAACTGGTAAGAGTACAAAATACCATCCCGAAACATCCCGGAACTAATTGCCAGAGTAGATTAGAATTCCATCGAAGTAACTAGAACCTGTCTAGAGGGATACTAGCCGAAGCTAGGATCAGACTCTACCTCAACACCATGAATCTATCCATGACATAGTAGTAGTCACATAGTCTTAGAGCCAGAGGTTGGCAGGATACCATCTCCACCTCAGTCAGTCCGTGACACTTTTCATGCTCTAAATATCCCCTCTGTTTAAGCTGGGAAACGTCTCTAGGAGGCTTGGGTATGCTGACAACGTCGCAATTCTTGAAACCCAAAAATCAGTTCACGACAATTGCATTTCTTAAAAAAGGCACTAAAAGAAGCTTTATAA